ATAATTCTTATAAATATTAGACGATATTACAGTATTTATAATAATCTATTCAAAAACATTTAAAATTTCTCGAACATTTCATTACACTGCAGAAAGTTCCAGCAATTTGCCTTAAGGCACGATGCCATACACCACTAGTTTGAATTTTATGCTCACAAAGTGAACAACAAATGCATAAAACCTAAAATTTCCTCATCTAATATGCTCATATAATTTTAATTCAAAAACAAAAGAATACCATCAAGTCGTCAAAACACATTTATAAAAAATAAATTTTGGACAAAATTTAATATGAAACCAAAATTTTCCAAATTGTACAGTTAAATCCACTAAAAAAACACCGATACTAAAACCAAAAGGTAAGATCAAAACAAATACATAAAAAATAAATACAAATATAATTGTGGTAATTTAGTTTTTAGTTCCTGGTTCAAAAATACATAAAAATTAAATACAGTTAATTTATTTAATAGTAATTTTCTTCTTTTTTTGTTCTTGTCTAATGTATAAAAAATTATATAAATATAAATAGTCAAAGAAAGTAATATCAAACTAGAAATTTTTGGGTAGAATACCCTAGGGTAGAAAAACTCACACATAATTCACTGTATTTAGATAAAATGTATCCAATGTAAAAATGTTTATTTAATAGTTCTAGATTGTTGGAAGTCTTCACAAAACAGTTGTTTTCCAAGACACTTGTCATTGCATGTGTACTCTGCCTTAGACAAAAACAAGATGTTCATCAATTTGCTACCCCAAATAGCCAATTGATGACGACAAGGGGAAAACCTGTTACTTCCAAATAGATTTTGGAAACTTCCAACCACTTCCATCTACTTAAAGGACACAATTATCGTCAGGAAAGAATTCTTCTAATCAAAATTAATCTTCTAAATTTCACACCAAGAGCTGCTCCACCCAGAGGTACCAAGATCCTTTATAAAATCAACGAGGAAGTATATTCATTTGCTTCCTGAGACATAAATTTAATCTTCGATGGATCCAAATTATTGTTAGGCAAGAATTCATCTAATCAAAATTAATCTTCTAAATTTCACATCAAGGGCTGCTTCATCCAGAGGTACAAAGATCCTTTAAAAAATCAACGAGGTAATATATTCATTTCTGAAACATGAAGTCTTTTAACCTTAAATTTCGATGGACCCAATTATTGTTAGGCAAGAATTCATCTAATCGAATATAATATTTTGCACTCTACAATAAAAGGGCTGCTCCATCCAGAGGCACCAAGATCCTTTATAAAATCAACGAGGTAATATATTCTTTCCTGAAACATGAAGTCTTTTAACCTTAATCTTCGATAGACCCAATTATTGTTAGGCAAGAATTCATCTAATCAACGAGGAAGTATATTCATTTATTTCCTGAAACATGAGGTCTTTTAACCTTAAACTTCGATGGACCCAATTATTGTTAGGCAAGAATTCATCTCATCAAATTTAATCTTTTGAACTCCACACCAAAGGCTGCTCCATCCAGAAGTACCAAGATCCCTTATAAAATCTACGAGAAAACCTTCTTGTGGTTGTGGTTGTACTTCTTCATTTGGAACAAAGAAGTCAAGTTTCCAGTATAGTTTGCTCACCCAATCAGATTTTGGATTGTACTTTTGAGAACCCTTGAATTTGGTAAGTGATTACTTCTTGATTTTGGTTCTGCATGAATCATCGTAGTCGAGACGACAGTTTGTGATCACCAAGTTCCTGATGTCATATATTGGGTCATCTACCAGAGAACCCATCAATTTGGTAAATGATTTCTTCTTGAGTCTGGTACCACGTGCATCACAATTAGACGATTATTAGACAAACAAAAGATCATTTGGTGTGTGCCATAGTTTGCTTTCACCATATTCCTGAAGTAATTTTTTGGATAATCCTCCATCAATTTGGTTCATCACTGCCAATTGATTCTGGTTCTACAAGGATCACCATTAGAAGTTGTTTTTCGTGGATTACTGACTTCTTCAGTTGGAGTGTATGCTCACCAAGTTCCTGATGTCATTTTTTCATCATTGTCCTGAAAACCCATCAATTTGGTTCGTTACTACTGATTGATTCTGGTTCTAAGTAGATCACCATTAGAAGATATTTCTCGTGGATTATTAGTACCATCAATTTGGTAAGTGACTACCTCCTGATTCTGGTTCTACAAGGGTCAACTTTATTCGGGAGATTTTATTGTAATACTTGTCTTCTCCAATTGATGCAGCCGATTGATGTGTCCATGCCCTTAGATCCTATGATAGTTTGCTATGTCATATTTTGAATGTATATCTTGCGGTACACTTTATAAATTTGGATTGGATTACTTTTATAATTTTTTTCGGGATCCTATTGAAGAATTTATTGTTTTCTGTATATGCAGAGTCAAATGATGATTACGGTAAAAAAATTTGGAAAAAAATTCATTTGTGTTAAATAATTTTTGTGCTGATGTAAAAACAAAATGAATAAAAATTTTGTAAAACAAATGTAGTACATCATTGCTATTTGATAATTGTCAAAATTGAGTAAACAAAATCTATGTCTTGTTTTTCGAAAATAAAATTTATCATTTTACATATTATTATATAACTAACTAGCAAACCCGACGAACTCCGTTTCGCCACCAGATGGTTTCGTGAGAAAGATGAAGAAATTTTTTGTTTGTTTTATATTTGAAAAGGAAAAATTTGATTTTATTATACAACAGTAATGAATTTATTTCGATTACAAAATGAAGTTTGTTTTTTAGTTGAACTTCTCTAAGTAAATGAAAGTGAATCCGCAAATTATCCGTTTCATTGAAGTGCTCTTTGGTAAACCACATTTTTTGTTTTTTGGTCTGATGTTAACACAAACAAAGCGGATGGTTTCCCGACTCGTAAACATGTAACGTATAACTGCCCATGTGAAACACAATGATTTTCTAAATAATCTATTTGAAATTTATCCCGCAAACACTAAGCGATTGGCCTTGCGACTTGTTATTGCAAACTAGAAATTGCAATCGTTTGAAGTCAAACGGAAGACCAATCGGAATCATTGGTATGCCACCAAATCGCCAGCAATGTTTGATTGAATGGTGGAATTCAGTGCGTGTACATCATTATTCTTTCCGGCAAGAATTGCTCGTTGACTTAACCAAGCATAATTCTGATAATTCTCACTAATGTCATTACTCGAATTTTTAATTACGGTGCGTGAAGTTCCAGCAGCTTGCATTAAGGCACAATGCCATGCACAACTAATTTTCTTAGCTATAAACCTTGCGGAGACCTTTCCAACGAATGCAAAATTGTCGAAATCGGTTTGTGCGTTCTGGAGTTATTTCGTCAGGAAGGAAAACCCGACTTATTTTTATATATATAAAAGATTATAACTAATTAATCTTTATGCATTTATATTCTAACTTTACTAACTATATGAATCAATGTTGAAAAATCATGTAAATTAATTTCCCATTGTTTTTTCAAACGTGGCGGCATGTTCGAGCCTCACAAATTTTATTAATCCATCTCTCTCTACCAGACATAACTAGTTGGTATTGGTATTTAGCCTTGAGGTAAGTTACATGAACTTCCCGATATGTGTAAATAATCGACTTAATCAATAAGAAATATATTAATTTATGAGTGATTAAAAGTATTTCGAGTGGATTTATTACACATAATTGAAAATGAACGAACGAATACCTTAACTCGGAGTATTCTCTTAAAGCAAATTTTCACAAATTGATAATTTTTATAATTGAACCAGTTTTTTGTAGGAATTTAATAATTTAGTATGTTCATTAAGACCAAGTACTCTATCGTTAAACCAAGTAAATCGTATAATTTTAATTTTAACAAACGTCAACAAAACTACTCATTTTCTCAAACTTTGATGAATTTTTTAAAATTAAACTACTTGTCGTAAGACCATATATTTCAGTAAGTTCTATAAGATCATGATATATATCGCTAAAAAAGTTCCATAAAAATCGGCTTAAATTTTTTTTTCAACAACGAATTACAAGAAAACGGCTCGATTGATCTTTACCTAAAACTAATCAGCATCAATCCCAATGATATCTTTCGGACAGTTTTTGATTTTTTAAAATCGATTCGGTAGAATGAGCTTAAATGTGGACGAAAAGTTTAACACTTTTTTTTAAATTATAAAGAAACGGCTTGGCAGATCGTCGCGCAAAATTGATAAAAGCTAGTCCTCATCGAGATACATCGAATGGCATTTAAATTTTTGAAATCAGTCCAGCAGTTCGGTTGAGGCGTTTTTGAGAAAATGTCGATGAAATGTATGATTTTGACAGATGCCAAAAAAAATATACTAATTTTTGCAAACTTTGACGAATTTTCAAAGCTAAACCAATAGCCGCAGGGCCGTAATATTTTAATATGATCTAGAAGACTATGGTATCTACCGTCAAAAAAAAAAATAAAAATCGTCGAAATTTTTTATTAACACTTTATTACAAGAAGACGGCCCGGCCGATCTTCACCAAAAACTAATCAGCACGATTCCTAACCAATATCTTTCGAACGAATTTTCAGAATCGATTCAAAATTGCGGGCTAAAACGTGGACGAAAAGTTTAACACTTTTTTTAAATTATAAAGAAATGTCTCGGCCGATCGTCGCACAAAACTAACAAACGATAGTTCTCGTCGAGATACATCGAATGGCTTTTAAATTTTTGAAATCGGTCCAGCGGTTTTTGAGAAAACGGCGATTTACGGTAAAATATCGGTTCACACACACAGATACACATATGCATACTTTTTCCGAATTTGGTCTCATTCGATTCAGAACGGCTTGAGAAAACATAAAATAAGCGAATCGGATTTTTTGATGAAAACATAATTACTTCTCCTTCTGAAAGCTAATAATTTTATTGTTATATAATGTTATACCTTTTGCACCTACATTAGATTAGTACGACCTCACTAAACAGGGATTTGTGATAGGAAGGTGGAAATTTAGGGCTCCATGTTTTTCAAACAATATTATTCTCAATACTATACTATATTATATATTTAATTACAAAATAAATCTACAATGGCCCACACATCTCCATCAATCTATAAGGATTACAACCGCTCATAAAATGCAGTTCTTTTTCGGCCTGCGAATCTTGCGTCTGCAACCACAGTCTGTCCCTATAGTATTGCATAACACTTGCAAATTCTTTATCATTATAACCCTTTATTTCCACTGGAATAAAAGGGTCTAGATGCTCAAAACCTTCTTTACCCAGAAGATATCTTGGTAAATGTGATTCTTGGCTTTCTTTGGGCACCGCGTGCTGGTCTACGATTACTACCGATAAACCATTACACTAAAAAAAAATTACATTAAAAAATTAAAAAAATGAGAAAAGAATTATGTTATTGGGTGGTTTATTATTATTTTTTCTTACCCAATCGAAGTTGGTGATGTCTAAGAATGGAGTGGTTATCGTAACTTTTGCCGGCGGTACAAATTGTTTATTGTCGCCTTTTATTATCGAATGTGTGTGCCAAAGTGCATTGTAGCCGTCGATTGCCACAAATGTTTTGCACCTAAAATATTAATTATATTGAATTGTAAATTAAAGAAATTTATATTTAAAAAAAAGAGATGTTGTATAGGATTACAAAAAAAAAGAGTGCGCGTAAGGATCACACGCGATGAAGTAAAACTTATTTGCAATTATATTGTAGCAAATTTAAGTTGAGTAAAAATAAATACATCATATAAAAATTTTGAATAAGGTTTATTAGTAAATATGGTAACACTCGTGATGCACACATTTATTAGTGTCGTCAATCATTATACACATTTATATAAAGATAAATTATAAATTATAATTTATGATTACATTAAAAATATGTACAATATTTACAAACAATATGTAATCAAAGTCGTACTTGAAATATGACATGATCGTTTTAAAGTAATTGCTGATTAATAAATTCTATAATATTCATTTACACAGTGGATTATGTTAAACAACGCCTAAACAAATATTGTTTTGCAAATTAACTCATCCTGTAACAATTGTGTTTGAAGAACTCATGTAATTAAAATTAACATACATTCATTTACTGTTTGTATTTTTTTACTTTTTCGCTGACGATATAATCTCATTCCTTGAACAGCTGTAATATCCGTCTTGCCTAACAAATTGAAGCCATACTTTTTATATTTGTTTTATTTATCAAGCCCTTGCACATAGCTTGAGATCTATGAATCATTTCTTTTTTATGTGAACGTTAATGCAATGATCATCATCAATAATACGAGGTAATATAAATTATCATTATTAATGTCAACAGGCACATTTATAATTTGGCCAAACATTCCAAATTGTCCATTTGCATGTCGCAATCGTCTAATTTGCATGAAAACACAACTAGGTGAAATTAACCTTTCAGATTACAGTATCTAGTTTAGGTAGATAATTTGTTATAGGTGGAAATACACAAACCCGTTAAACTTACACAAAGTGGGAATTTTACCCGAATTTAATATCTTTCGACAAGTTTGACATCCAACCTGATTATTTTATCCAACCTAACCCATGTCGCGCCTAAAGAAGTTTTACTTCAAAAACCTTTAAAAAGCATATTATGTCTTTATAACGAAATAATTGATAGTCATACAAATATAAAATGATGTCTCATGAATTAATTAATTGTGATGAATCAATTTATTTGATTATATTGTTATTGATCCAATTTTTGCCATATTTTTATAATAATTATTATATATAATTATGTCTACTAAGTATTTGATTTAATTACTTCAGTATACAATTTGAAAAATTAATGTAAAAACATATAAAAAATGATAAATTTATTATCTGATTCGAAACTATCTATATGTAATATATAAGAAACAATAAATGGTGACTGATTTTAATATTATTCCACATTATTATTATGTATATGTACCTATATGTATCTTTACATATTAAATGTATATAAATTCTAGGTCTAATATATTTCATATAAATATAAAATGATGTCTCACGAATTAATTAATTGTGATGAATCAATTTATTTGATTATATTGTAGACATTTAAGTGATCCGATTTTTGCCATATTTATAATAATTATTATATATATTATGTCTACTAAGTATTTGATTTAATTTACTTCAGTATATCAAATTTGAAAAATTAATGTAAAAATATATAAATGAAATGATAAATTTAAATTATCTGATTCGAAACTATCTATAAATGTAATATATTAGGTTGTCAAATATCTCCCTTCCGCTTTTTTGCTCTTGGTTTATAATACAAAAAGGCGAAAGGGAGATATTTGACAACCTTAATAAATGGTGACTGATTTTAATATTATTCAATATTATTATTATGTATATGTACCTATATGTATCTTTACATATTAAATGTATATAAATTATAGGTCTAATATATTTCATATATTTTAACTAGTAAACCATAGGAAAATACTATAAAACTACAAGACAAAATTAACAAGAAGGTTGTACTAAGTAGAGAAAATACTAAAGTCTGCATTTGAAGTATGGGTTAATCAAAATTTTGATATCCGAGCGTATATAACAATTTTTACTAGAATTTAGTAAATTTCATCTAGTTTTTGCTAATGTATTAAAATTATAATGTCCTAGAAGAAAATTAAAAGGTATTTGAAGAACAGTAAAAAAATGTTCTAAATCCATATATGTATGTAATGCAAATTATGAAGGTGTTAATGTTACGTATTGCAAAATACGTGTTATTCAAAATTTTGATATTCGAGTATATATAATAAGTTTAACTAGATTGTAGTAAATTTTATCTAGTTTTTACTAATTTAAACAAATTTGAATGTCCTGGAAGAAAATTAAAAGTTATTTGGAGAAACGTAAAAAATGTCCTAAATCCATATATGTAATGTGAGTTAAGAAAATACTAAAGTCTGCAATTCAACTACGAATTATTCAAACATTTTATATAAAAGTGTATATAACAGTTTATACCAAATTTTAGTAAATTTTATCGAGATTTTACTAATGTAAACAAATTAAGATATTCGGAATGAAAATTTTGAGTCGTTTTAAGCAATGTAAAAAAATGTCCTTGCTAGTTAATAAGGTACTTTTTCTATTTCTATTCTATGTCTTATTTGATCGTCAGTAGAGTCCTTTTTAAATTCTGTCACATATTTCAGTCTTTCTTTATTTGAGCTTGCTAAACAAAAAATTAATCTTTTAATTTTGTCTCTTATTTATTGTCTCTTATCTTATTTTTGTCTCTTTGATAGTCAGTAAAGTCCATTTTTTATTTTATGTTTTTTCCATTTCAGTTGGCTGAATAGAAGTCATTTTTAAATTTGGTCTTGTATTTCAATTTGATGGTTAGTAGAGTCCTTTTTTATTTCATTTTGTTTTACTTTCAATTTGCTAGTCGGTAGAGTTCTATTTCTATTCTATGTCTATTATATATTTTATCAGAATACTAAAGTCTGCATTTCAACTACAAATTATTCAAAATTTTGATATCCAAGTGTATATAACAGTTTTTACTAGATATTAGTAAATTTTATCTAGTTTTCACTAATGTAAACAAATTATAATATAGTAGAAGAAAATTAAAAGTTATTTGAAAAAAAAGCAAAAAAATGTCCCAATTCCATATAATTCAAATTATCAAAATACTAAAGTCTGCATTTCAACTACAAATAATTCAAAATTTTGATATCTAACAAGGAGAACCCGCGCATTGCTCGTCTCGGATTTTGATGAAATTTGGCACAGTTGTAGGTTCTATGCCCAAACTGACTGTGGTAAAACATTAGAGGCCTATGAAAAGCGGTTTAATTATAAAAATTAATTAAAGTTTGCATTTTAGCAGCGCGCTATACCATAGCGCTACACATAGCTCGCAACGTGCACAATTATCAGTTGAGTCGTAGTTTAGTGGTAGAGTGACCGAACTCTCATTTTTGCGTATGCTTATGCGTATCGTCGGAGGATCGAATCCCGTTCATGTTAACTTTTTTTTAAATATTTTTAATTCAAATTTATAATTGCATGAGTAAATAATATTAAAGTTTTCGTGAGTTTTTAATTAATTTCATATTTTTCGTTAAATATTCTATAGTAAAATGCTCTGTAACGTCTGTATTAAATTGATGTAACACCTGAAACATAATAATTTCATATAAAAAAACAGCAATAACAAGGAAGAAAAAATGTAATTTATTTGCATATATTAACTACTTTAAGGTTTACAATTGGCGGGATGGTACTTATCATAGAAAGAAGAAAAACATAAAAATAAATTGCAATGAGCACATTTCATAAACATTTTTCACAAACGACGGTTTCCGGAAAACATACTTGATTCACAATAAAAAGAACTCTCTTGTATTAGCCAGTTTGCTTGCAAACCAAGCATATTGGATCATATTCTGAAAAATATGCGCAGTAAACTGATGATGAATTAGAGAATGTATCCTCAAGGCATCTTCCCTTCTGTTTAGTTCTCTTTCTAATTGCCTAATTCGGTAACAATTTTGAATTTTCTTCATAAATAACTTCACCTGTCTGTAGAAATAAACGTCACAAGGCTGGCAGTATGGTGTGCAATGGGGTGATATTATTTCTACTGTACTGGTTCGTTGCCCTAGATCGTTTGTAAAATTATTATTGAAAAGTGATGGATCGAAGTTTGACCACCCCAAGAATCTAATATTAATAAAAATTTCTCCCTTTTAACATATGGCTTAAGAACATTATCAATAAATATCAATAAATATGAAAAAAGTTCCTTCGTCATTTTACCGCTTTTCGACGCAGTCACACAAATATTTTTGAATTCGTGTTCATATTTTTGAACATCAATTTGAACTTTTGGTCCAAACTGACCGCTCGGCTCGCGCATATATAAAAATACTTTGGGCAGTTGTAAACCTTAAAGTAGTTAATATATGCAAATAAATTACATTTTTTCTTCCTTGTTATTGCTGTTTTTTTTATATGAAATTATTATGTTTCAGGTGTTACATCAATTTAATACAGACGTTACAGAGCATTTTACTATAGAATATTTAACGAAAAATATGAAATTAATTAAAAACTCACGAAAACTTTAATATTATTTACTCATGCAATTATAAATTTGAATTAAAAATATTTAAAAAAAAGTTAACATGAACGGGATTCGATCCTCCGACGATACGCATAAGCATACGCAAAAATGAGAGTTCGGTCACTCTACCACTAAACTACGACTCAACTGATAATTGTGCACGTTGCGAGCTATGTGTAGCGCTATGGTATAGCGCGCTGCTAAAATGCAAACTTTAATTAATTTTTATAATTAAACCGCTTTTCATAGGCCTCTAATGTTTTACCACAGTCAGTTTGGGCATAGAACCTACAACTGTGCCAAATTTCATCAAAATCCGAGACGAGCAATGCGCGGGTTCTCCTTGTAAGTCTATATAACACTTTTTACTTGATTTTAGTAAATTTTATGTAATTTTCAATGATATATAGAAAACGAAGTGTCTTGGTTAAAATTTACAAGATATTCAAGAAAATGTAAAAAATGTCGAAAATACTAAATATATGTAGCAGTAGAAAAAGAATGTTGCAACAAGTTTTATTCAAAATTTCATTATGTAAGTATATACAACAATTTTTACCAGTTTTTCGTAAATTTTATCTAGTTTCAACTAATGTATACAAATTAAAATGTTTGGAATAAAAATCTTGAATAATTTGAAGAAATTTAAAAAAAAAATGTCCTAAATTCATATATTGCTTTGTATCAAAATACTAAAATAAACAACAAAAAAAAAACAAATCAAGACAAAAACTATTAATTAACTCTTTCATTATCACATAAAAACCGATTTTAAATTTAGCGACACTGAAACAAGTAAAAAAAACCCGAACAAGTCCCCGAAACGGGTATTTTTACCCGCCCCGTTTATACTACTAAAAATACATCATACCTTCCTTCAGTCGAATGTTGTTTTAACTCCTTGAAAAGCACCGATATACATTCACTAGCATATTTAACTCTATTAATACCATGTTCGACAATTGCCATTAATGGAGAATCCTTCGGAGTTATTTCGCGTTTACTCCAAACGTAATCTTTGGAAGTCTTAAGCTACAAAACAGTAAAAACATTCATAAGACATTATCCAAATAATATATATATATATATATATATATATATATAAAATACCACTTACATCTAATTCTTTTAGTAAAGTACTATTTTGTGTCTGAAAATGGAAAAGCCAAGCCGCTGCGTCTATGGGAAGATCCATGAAACCTTCGTGGATAGTTGAGTTGTTGTATTCTTTGGGACGTATAAACCAATTGGGTACTAATTGAAAAATATAGTTAATAAAATATTAAATTATATATATATATATATATATATATATATATTTATTTATTAATTAATTAGTTTTCTCCTACCCCATGGAACATGTACAATAATGAATTTCTTTTCATAAGCATAATGTATGAGGTGAGCCAATGCCAGGGATTTTCCACAACCTAATTTTCCATCTGAAAGAAATAAAATTGTTATAGAAATTGGAAATGTGGAGTACCTTAAGGGACAGTGGTAAGGCCACTATTATATTTATTATATATATATATATATATATATATATATATATATAAATATAAATTCAATTAAAAATAAACAGAGAAATAATAAAATAAAGTAAGTTCTTACAAGAAAATGACAAACTCAAAATTTTGACTTGAAATTTTGATATGAAGTAAAGAATATATTTTAGATACTTTAGTAAATTATAAACTAGAATAAAAAAATAAACTTCTCCTTCAAGAAGTTAATAAATAGTTTTAAAAAAACAAAACAAAAAAATCACTGCTCTTCTGTGAGTCCTAAATAATGATTATAAGAAAATACAACAAGAAATATTTATAATGAAAATAGTATTTGTATATTACAATTTGTGACTTGAAGGAACTCTGTTAAATATAATATATTAATTATCAAAAATATAGGTGAAAACAAATATTGAAGTGTTTAAAATATTATTAAAATTGATGTACCTCAGGGAACAGTTATAAGACCGTTATTATATTTATTATAATAGAAATATAATAAATATAATATAAAATATGATAAATATAATAAATATAATATATATATATATAATAAATATAATATATAAAATAATATATAATATATATAAATTAGGTTACTATATATACATATATAAATATATTGAACAAAATTATATTTTTTTTTTTCATTTATTTAAATTTGTTTAATTGTTTTATTCAATGTTTGAATATTAGCTGGAATGTCTCCTTTTTCAGGAACTATTGATATTTAATAAAAAATATTTTTACAATACATTCATATATTAATTAAATTATCATAAAATTTAAAGAACATACTTTTAACTTTAATAACTACATATTTTCCAAGCAAACATCAAAAAATTATATTTGAAAATAGACCAAAAAATATATCTTAACTTTTTAAAAATTAAATTTTCTATTTCGTTCTCTTAAATTTTTTTGTTAGTTATTATTTATAAGAATGTTTAACAGTTTTTACTAGATTTAAGTAAATCTAATCTAATTTAGGTAAATGAATCATTATGTTCTAAAAGAAAATTGAAAGTTATTTGAAGAAATGTAATAAAATGTCCAAAATCTATATATGTATAGCTAATTATAAGAATACCAAAGTCTGTATTTAAACTACAAATTATTCAAAATTTTAATATCCAAGTGTATATAACAGTTTTAACTAAATTTTAGTAAATTTTATCTAGTTTTTAATAATGTAATTAAATTATAATGTCCTACGAAAAAATTAAAAGTTATTTGAAGAAATTTAAAAAAAAACGTACCAAAACATATAATGTAAATTGTCGAAATACTAAAATCTGTATTTTGACTATGAATTATTCAATATTTCAATATCTAAGTATATATAACAGTTTTTACTCAATTTTAGTAAGTTTTGCCTAGTTTTTACTAATGCATACAAATCATAATATCCCAGAAGAAAATTAAAAGTTATTTGAAAAAATGTCCTAAATTCATATATGTAACACAAATTTTGGAAATACTAAAGTCTGTGTTTCAACTATAAATTATTCAAAATTTTGATACGAAAGTGTATATTACAAGTTTTACTACATTTTAGTAAATTCTATCTAGTTTTTACTAATGTAAATAAATCATTATGTCTTAGAAGAAAATTAAAAGTTATTTGAAAAAATGTACTAAATCCATATATGTGAACCAAATGAGAAACACTTAAGTCTGCATTTCAACTACAAATTATTCAAAATTTTATTATCCAAGTGTAAATAACAGTTACTAGATTCTAGTAAGTTTTATCTAGTTTCTAATAATGTAAACAAATTATAATGTCCTAGAAGAAAATTAAAAGTTGTTTGAAGAAATGTAAAAAATTGTTCTAAATTCATACAATGCAAATTATCAAAATACTAAAGTCTGCATTTCAACTACAAATTATTCAAAATTTCAATATCCAAGTGTATATAACAGTTTTTACTAGATTTTAGTAAATTTTATCTGGTTTTCACCAATATAAACAAATCATAATGCCCCAGAAGAAAATTAAAAGTTATTTTAAAAAAAATGTAAAAAAAAAACGCCCTAAATCCACACATTACTAATTATTCATTGTATTCAAGTGTATAAAAAATGATATGGAAGCTTTTCAACAAAAAAATATAAAAGAACAATTATTATTATAATTTTATTAAATGTTTAATATTATTAGTTTTTATTTAGTGTTATATATTTATATTTATATATATATATATATATATATATATATATATATATATATATATATATATACAAAGCTCTTAATATGCAAATTTTCTCACATATCTTTAGTTTATACTTTGTACACTTTAAAATGTAATTATACTGTATTATTGTCTTGGGTGTTGAATAAATAAATAAATAAATAAATATATAAATAAATAAATAATTTTTATAATTTACTTACACATTACAAATCTCAATGCAGGTTTACTATAATTCATTTTGTCCATATATTCCATTATTTCGATTGTAGGCTCTCTAACCATTAGACAAGCTTCATTAAAAGTTTTCACCTTTTTAATAAAAAACAACAAATAAATTAATAAAATCATATATATATATATTTATATATATATATATATATATATATATATATATACATATATATATATATATATATATATATATATTTGGATTTAAAAAATTACCTGTTTTTGAAATGATTTAGGAAATCCTCCTGTGTTAAATAATTGTTTATGTATACTCGGTTGCATGGTGTAAAAGTGTCCACAATGTGATCTATTATGATTTATCTGCAATAGTAATCAAATGTTACAAAATCATTCAATTAATAAAAATCATAATTGTTAAGTTAAATATTTTGTTCAGTTTTTGCAACTAATTTTATCTTAATTCAAAGCTAATTCTAAGCATTTTAAAAATCATTTGCATTTATACGCTAATATTTTATATCTTATAAATAGTATTTTAATCCAAACTATTTTATTATAGCTTTACTGTTTTTTTATTTTTCATACATAATTAAAAATTAAGTATATTTGTGTGCAATTTTCAAATTTATCTTAGAACTGATAAATTATTTAAAGCTTACTTAAGTAATAATAAATTTATTTATTTAGTAACATTCATAATTGTTTTTTTCCTAAAATAAATATTTATAAGTCAAAAATCTCATTTTTTAAACATACAACCAAAAGAAAGTCACATCTCTTTAAAATATAAAAAATGACAAAAGTATATAGACATTTATAACCAAAAATAAAATTACTATTTAACATAATATAGTTAAAATGTACTGTATTCGATTTCAATATTAATTTTTCAAAAACTTTTGATTATTTCCAAGATTTTTGTCTTTTATTTCCATTAAAAAAATTTTTCTAGCCCATTTTAGTTAGCTAGCAATATAATTTAATAATACAATTTATTTAATGGGAAATATAATAAAATAATATATAATAGTATTTAAAAAAAAAAAAAAAAACTATTGGGACGCATGGCATCGTGCCTTAAGGCAAATTGCTGGAACTTCCCGTTTAACATTTAAAAACTTTAACATTTTTGATAAAAAAATTACTTTGAAAAAATTAGATTTTTGAGAAACTATAAATTTTTGAAAAAAAAAAAATTACTTTATTTGGAAAAGAAATGTATTTTTTTTTAGTTTGAAATATTTTGGAAATTTTGAACTTTTTTTCAAAGCAAATGCATTGCTTTAGCTGCATAGATAGATGCAATATCGAAGCGCGTAAGCGCCGCGTCGCCGCCTAACGCGTAAACATTGGTACGGAACCCATAGGAATGCAAACAAAATTTATACTTATTGTTAAAATCTCTATAAAATATCTGATAATTTGATGTGCATATTACTAATGATCATTTTTGACCGTCAAATGGCTCATTTTTTTACTTTTTCCTCAATATCTCCGAAGTCGTTGCACCTGCCTTTCCAAAAATTCAAACAGTTTTTGATTTAGTCAATACAAGTAAAATGTTTCTTGAATTATTCAAATCGGACGCTCCGTTCTCTTAAAATCTGAGTTACCGTTTTTGGCCCTTTTTGCCCCGTATCTTCGGAACGGCTAGACCTGCCTTCGACAAAATCTAATCAGCACGTCTCCTTATCAATACGAATCGAATGTTTTTTGAATTATTCAAATCGCTTCATCCGTGTTCCCGAAATCGTCGACGAAAGTTTGTATCCACACACATACACACTCACACACACACAAACATCCATTTTTTTTAAGGTATGCCAAAATGTTCAGAAGGTTTTGAAACGTATATATAAAAATTTTCATTTCACTATAACTTGCCCTACGGGAAGTTAATAATTATAAGAAAATACAATTTTGGAAGTAATAAAAACAAATTTTGCAAAAGTAAATACATAATTAACGTAATATAAAGTGATTGTGGAATACATTACACCATGTATTTTTACTATTTTTACTATTCTTACTATTTTTCATTTAACTTTTTGGTATTCAAATTAGCAATAGTATCTATTAGTTGAAAACATCAATACAAATCGCTTAAAGCTTATTAACATATTTAATTAAAATCTTACGGGATTATTTTCTAATGTTCTGAAATCTGCATTTGGACTTGCGGCTGGTTCTGCTAATGTGGACATTGGAGAAACGACACATTGTCGAAGAACTGGCCCTGTACGTCTTAGAACTGAAAAATTCTACAAAAAAAAAAAATATATATATGTATAAATAAAATCATAATAATAAAACACTGTTAGACTTTTTCACTATATTAAAACATTATTAGGATGTAGATATAATATATCGGAATATTATTTGTAAAATGAATCAATTGTAATGGATTTATATTGCGTATTGTTTTTTTTTTGTCGAAGCACTCAAGATATAAAATATAAACTATATAGAGCTGTTTTAAGTATATATATATATATATATATATATATATATAATTCTTTAAATCCATATGTCAACTTTTACTCAAAGTGCTTCAATATAAATAAGCGAGCAAAAATTTGACATTTATGAATAATAATTATATGTATTAACTATAATAATATAAAGCTGACCTTAATTAAATGTTTTATGCTTTAAATATTAATGAAGATCTTAAATTTATGTATTGTTATAAAAAACTTATATATATTTTGTTTACATTTAACATTTTTAGATGTCAAAAGTGAGGTTATGTTATAAGTGCCTTCATATATAAATTTATATATTATATTAATTTATTCATATATATTTAAATTTTATATATATATATATATATATATTAATATATATTTGTGTATATAAAATATATCTAAAATCTTTTAAATTATTATAACATCACATTTTATCTTTTATGTCAAATGCTTCAAAATAAATAATACATATTTTAATACTACAAATTTTAATATTTAATGACACAATACTAACCATAATTATTTATTTTTTTGCTTTAAATATTCATAAACACATTAAACTTATTTATTACGATTATATTTTATTATTCATGTGCAACTTTTAACATTTTTAGACATACAAAAAGTGAGGTTAGGTTATCTAAGTTTGTTCAACATGAATATAGGTGCAGAAATTGCCAATAGATGACACCAGGTTAGACATTTGAAAAATGTATTTTGAATTTGTTAAATTTATTAAATACATTTAAACAAATATAAATTTAATAGTATCATTTTATCTTAAATTGCATGAACTTTCCGATATGTATATTATTAATAATATTTTATAGACTTAAGTTTACTAACAAAAGTGGAGTTAAATTATCAAATTTTGTTCAAAAAATGAACTTAGGTACACAGATTCTCAACAGATGACACCAGGTCAGACATTTTGAAAAATATATTTGAAACTTTTCAAAATTTGAGAAACTTAAAACGAGATGTAGATTATATTTATGAAATATAACTAGGTGTGAGTTACATTTTGCCTTAAGGCAAGTAAATAATATTTTAAAATTTATGTTCTTAAGTATACGTCTATTTACTGTGTATGTCTTAAGACACAGCAATTATTAAGATTTTTTTTTACTTAAACCATTCTTCATAGACCTATAATAATTTAAAATGTATATATCCATTAGGATATTCAAAAATGTTCAGAAGACTTTGTAACAATTTTCATTTTTTGCAACAGTTTTTGAAACATATAATATTTTAATGACGTTTCGGAACTAGTTACGTTCCATCTTTAGGTCATCCGTCAAGAAACATGCTAATAAATAACAATTGAACAAAAACAAAATTTAACCTTTTTACCATTATAATTATCTTACCAAATATTCCATCAATTTTGCTTTTCAAGCTACAAACGTTTCGAATCAACACTTTGTTTCATCATCAGTGCATTCAGATTCCAATTTTCGTTTTCAATAACCAACAAATGGCAAGTTTATAAATTAGCAATTTAATGTGTTATTTAAATTTTAACTTATTCTCATATACGTCGGCAGCAAATTCACTTCAGTTTTAAATCAGCATTTTGTGCAGAATGCATGCAGTGCGCATTGCTGCAATAGTATGAGAGCTGGTGGAAATAATTCTAGACGAAAAAGTAATAGAACAATATTCTGTTCCACTTAGGACATGAAGGCATTATTTGAAATTGAGAAATTATATTGTGAAAACCAATCCAATTCTATTACAACAAATAACACATATCAAACAAACAACTATCTGACTAGGTTCAGTAAAACTTTTAGCTATTTTATCATTGTAAAAATGTGTTTTTTTTTCTATTTTAAAAAAAAAATTGTTACCTGGTCATTTTTACACCATAGGCGGAGTAAAATGGGATAGCATAAACAGATAAAATATCTTATTTTTAATTTAAAAAGGATTTTACAAAATAATAGCTTCATTATTCTACTAATGCACAATATAAATTTCTTGATACATTTTTTACAGAGATAACAAGGTATATAACCTTGATCTGGTATTTTGTCAAAAATATTCATCTGTAGAGTTAAAATAGCTATTTAAATATTGCCTTGTTAAATTGCTTAATTCAACTTGATTTACTTTTTCATTTACTATTTTTTATTATTTAAAGGGCGTCCACTAATCACGCGAGGTTTTTAGGAGGAGTAAGATATCACGAGTAATTATTTTTTATCTGAATTTAAAAAAAAATCAAAATTTTCAGGATAAAATTTCAAAAGAATCGCAAAATTTTCTCGTAACTAAATGTTTGGTGGGATGAGGGGTGGGGCGTTAATTTTGAATATAATCAAGGGGAGGGGGATCTAAAAATCCTCAAAAAATCGATCACGTGATTAATAGACGTCACCTTACACCATTATCAGGGTAAACGTTTAAGTTGGCCTTTTTTTACCTTAATTTTATAGAGAAATGTGTTGAATCTTATTTAAAATTAACAATACATCATATAAAACAATTAAATAACATATACTTAAATATTATATTAAAGTCTCGTAAACTAAACAACAGTGCTCAGCTGACGACCACAAGAACTAACAACGAAAAAATACTTTTGTTTGGGAATATCAAACAACAGTGATGTCATAAAAATTAAAGTCATGGCTGGTTATACATCTTTTGCCTTCTACTTTCAAATATTATTGTTAAATAAACCTGAACTCTACTTGTTTTAGAGATATCGGTGGTGGACCTTTAATCCCCGCTTTGCCCTATTATGGCAAGTTTATCCTTATTTAAGTTTCATACATTTTAAAAATTTCTACGGTTACTCGTCAGTAGAGTTTTTTTTCTCAAAAACACTTCAATATTATATATTTTACAAATTTTTAAAGTTGCACGCCAGTAGAGTCCATTTCTGTCATTTAAATTAATTACTACACAGTAGAGTTTTTGTGTCATTAAAAATAATTATTTTAGTAATTTTTATTCTCGGAAACAAGTTTGCTAGTCAGTAGAGTCATTACACTTCACTGCTTTGATATTCAAGATGCTTGTCAGTAGAGTTCTTTCTCTATTAAAATTTTACATTTTACTAACTTGTGCCCAATTTACGGACTATTAGGCCTATTCTCGGTAACACTTTAGTTTAAAGTTTTAGTTTTTTAGTTTAAAATTTAGGTACTGATGAGTTGCACTTATGTAAATAAAATAGGCGTGAAGTCAAACTAATGTTATTTTGACGTTTATGCTATTTGGAGGTTAGTTGACAGTATCATATCTATATATATATAAATAAGTCGGGTTTTTCTTCCTGACGATATAACTCGAGAACGTACGAACCGATTTCGACAATTTTGCATTCGTTGGAAAGGTCTCGGGCTCCGCAAGGTTTATAGCTAAGAAAATCAGTGGTGCATGGCATCGTACGTTAATTCAAATTACTGGAACTTTACGCACCGTAATTAAAAATTCGAGTAATGACATTAGTGAGAATTATCAGAATTATGCTTGGTTAAGTCAACGAGCAATTCTTGCCGCAAAGAATAATGATGTACACGCACTGAATTTCACCATTCAATCAAAAATTGCTGGCGATTTGGTGACATACCAATGATTCCGACTGGTCTTCCGTTTGACTTCAAACGATTGCAATTTTAAGATCGCCTTGCGTTTGCAATAACAAGTCGCAAGGCCAATCGCTTAGTGTTTGCGGTATAAATTTCAAATAGATTATTCAGAAAATCATTGTTTTTCACATGGGCAGTTATAAAGTTGCCTGTTCACGATTTGGAAAACCATCCGCTTTGTTTGTGTTAACGTCAGACCAAAAAACAAAAAATGTGGTTTACCAAAGAGCACTTCAATGAAACGGATAATTTGCGGATTCACTTTCATTTACTTAGAGAAGTTCAACTAAAAAACACTTCATTTTTGTAATCGAAATAAATTCATTACTGTTGTTTAATAAAATCAAAGTTTTCCTTTTCAAATATAAAACAAACAAAAAATTTCTTCAAACCATCTGGTGGCGATACGGAGTTCGTCGGGTTTGCTAGTCTTATTATAATTCTTCCTCTCACCCAGCCTTTAAACTATTCTCTCATCATGTTCTAGGACGCGGAAAATGAACATAATCTTTAAACCGCGGCCAGAGCTACAAAAATAAACATAAAAATGTCGAAAAAAAAACAAAACAAAAAAAAATGTTTTCCTACAAAATCTGTTGCAGCAACAAGAAACAAAGTGCATACAAAATTATGACCGAGTGTAGTATACGGAAAAAAATAAAAATCGGCGATCAGGAGTCATAAAACGTTGTTACTTTGAAATTATGAGAAGAACAAATTAAAGTTCGTGTCAGCTCGGATCGGCAAAGAGTAAAAAAAAATAAAGGATATAAAAATAGAATTAAATAAGGAACGAAAATGAAATGCAACACGCAAAAGGAATGAAAATTAAAAAGGAGTTCTGCAAAGGAGTTGCGAGTGCAGAATAATAACGAGGAATTTTCTTTATTGTTTTATATGTGGATAAGGATATACACACATATATATATATATATACAAATACACACATATATATATATATATATATATACTAGATGGCCCGACAGAGGTTGTCCTGTACCCACGTCTACAATTTTTTAATATCCTATACTAATATTTACGTTTAGTTAAAAATAATAATTATTGCTTTTTGAATTACTATTTACACCAATATATGAGTGATATTAAATATAGAACTATTTCAAATAAAACGATGATTCTCAATTCCCACAGTTAACACTTTAATTATCCCTTTAACA